GTTGTCTCTAAAATTTAAGAGAAAGAAGAAAGTTATATCTAGATCCGAATGGAGATAGTTGAAAGGCAGGCAAGGAGGGAGGGAGGAAGAAATGGAGGAAAGAAAGAAGGTAAAAGAAGGAAAAAAGGATGTATCTGAAGTCTCATTCTGGGAGTTGATGTCCACACATCTTAAAAGTTGCTGACATTGAGAAACACTGACCTACACCTTTAAAAACTTCGAATGAATTAGGAGAATGAAGTTGTGGTTTTTTGGTTTAGATCAAGAGAATGTTTCCTTATGACTGTTTCTCCGTTTGCCCACAATTTCCTTATTATTGGCTTCTGGTTTTTCTTTTGACTTTTTCAGTTTCCCCACCATTTCTTAACTTCCTTATGATATAGTCCGTGTCCTTCTGGAGCTGTTGCCTTGCTTCATTCCCTGAATTTCTCTCACCAGTTCTTTCTGCACATAAAGGGAGGCAGGAATAATTCCTTTTCTGAATGTAGCACAAGAAGTGCCAGTTTGGAAGTATCCTGGGAAACAGGGAGAACTGCAATAGGTTTAAATACAGTCAAATTCTGAAGACCAACTCAAATTTTGAAGAAAAGGCAGAAAAGCACCAATATATAAGAACAGGATCAAAAAATGGTTTTGACCAGTACATCTGGAGTAGCCCCTGAGGATTTGTCAGCAAATAAGAAATTCAGATATTAGTGTCTGTCTTCGTCAAGATTTTCTACCTCCTATATGTTTGTGTGTGCACACACACACATGCATGTATACATGGGAGGGGATGCATTGAAGAGAATGGATTTGCTCACATGAATTTAGAAATATCTGTTCATTATGTATGTGCTAAAAATAACTGTTAAATAATACATTAATTTCAAAAATAAGAGCATATGATTAATTTAGCCAATTTTCATTTCCTTACTTCCTTTTAAATCTTTTTTATGAGGTACCTCCATCTTTTGCAGGGTAGCTTCTACTGTAACTTTTTTAAAATATTTTTTTTAATGCTGTGAACTTTTACAAATCTAGTTTGCTTTTCTTTTAGAAAATTATAGGTAGATCAGTCTCAGAAATTGCTTCATTGCATACTGTAATATTTTTGATTCTGTAAATTCCAAGGTGAGAGCAACAAATAACCAAATGCTACTCATGGATTGTTTATTGACAGGGCATAAAAGCTGTAGTCATTTTTCAAAAAAATGTTCACTCATAATTAAGGCAAGTTTCAAATCCTCATGGGTGACAATTATGCAAGTTTGGTCACTATTTTAAGGATGAATTCAGCTTAAATAAGATTCAGTTACTATAGAATAGGCAAGGAATTTCTAAATATAGTATCCTTTTTAAGGAAGCACACTTCCTCATTACACAAACACAACTGATGTGATCCTAATTTCAACATCAGGTAAGATAAAAGCAGCCCACAGCTCATTTTAGAATCTAATTATTCAAGTCATGCTATAAATGTAAAACTAAGTAATTGATTATTCTGTCTCTTATAATCATGAATTAATCAAATAAAATAATGAATTTCTTGACCAGATATATTGCCAAGTGAAAAACAGATTTGTGCATAGTCTATACATATTGTGTCTTCATGTTTTAAATTGGATCTGGGCTGCTTTGTACATGCACTCCTTATATATTCCACAGTGTTTTCAGATAATGTGATTGGAATTGATTATTTCATTAGCAATATTTTGTTTAGCCATGGAAGATCCATGCATGTTTGTTCCTAGCACAGCATTCAGTCGCCATAAATGACAGAGCTACAATGCTTGGTCTCTTGCTGTACCATACTGTTGTAAAACAATAGTTAATTTTTTATCAGATTTATCTACCACACAAACTGAATCTCTATCCTATTTTAAACACATTATGCAATGACTAGCTCTCTAGAGAAGTCTATGATGCTGGAAGAGGTGGAAAGAAAGAGAAGAGGATGACCAGCAACAAAGTGGATATACTCAAATAGAGAGAGGCCATTATTGTTTAATATAATTTGCTAATCCTGTTAAGGTTAAAAAGAAATATATAATTGCCATGACTGAAATTAGTTTATTTCTAGTCCACCTTAGACTATTACTATGAAATAGTAATTAGTATTACTATGAAGTAATAATATCTTGGTTGTGTACACATTGGAATAAAGAATCAAAGGATAGTATGCATTTATTAAAGGTTAAAGAAATGTGTTGATGAATACATTGGAAAGAATGGATAGTTTAATTTAGAGACAATACATTGCTAGTTATAGAATATTATTATCTTCGGGACTGATGAGGACCGGTGCTTCAATTAAAATAGTTGCATCATCTGTATGGATTGTCAAGCATTAGCCTTACTGGATCCAGCATCTGGAAATGGTACTTGTTGGATCAGAAATACTATACTAGATTACTTATACTCTAATATATAATTCATTTTATAGTTTAATATGCTGTAGATCCCTTTAGCCATATCAAAGTGAAAAACTGCTGCTGGTGAAGCGGTTTGTGTTGAATCTAGATCTGACATTTCATATTCAGGAATGCTGCTGAAAGTGAAAGAGAAACCTGCCAAAAAAAATAACATTACTTTAG